GTTTGAGAGAAGAAATACAGATTTTTGGCAAGGAAAAAAAATATATACTTAAATTATAAATAAATTGAATGGAATTAAATCTTATCAAAGGGGTGTCAAAAGAAATTACAAAACATTGGCAAAAATAAATGAGTACATGAAGTTGGTCACCATCTCTGTAATAAATGCTGCTAAGGTTACAAGCACTATGACAAGACTGGGTAATAGGAGTGACTTAGTTTATGTATTCATACCTGTCATTTCACTCAGCTTTGTGGTGATATATACAAAAATTGATATTTACTCTCTGTGGAGTCAAGGAGCACAGTTTGACAAGATTACATTCTCTTGAACAGATAACACATGCAATCTTCTGTATTCAAAGGATTTCTGTCACCTGTCTTAACAGAAAGGAACTGTCAAGTAGCCATCTCTTGAAATAGGATTCAGACTTGCTCCAGCAGCTTAACACTGACAACAGTAACAGCCTTGAATTGATCTAGCTCATGATGGCTGTCTTCAAAGCTCCTTGATACAGACAACCTGTATCAGAACCCACTCTGCCACATCGTTACAGGCCGATGGCAAACAATGTTGTCTCTTCCCTGGTGGAGGGGCAGAGAGAGACAGAAAGACAAAGGTTGTGAGAAAGCTAAAGACACTAAGTGTCAATGAAACAGGATAGCGGGAAAGCTGTTGATAGTGCGGCTTAGAAACTAGAGCCAAGAAGAAAGAAGGGAGAGGGACCTACAGCGAGACACAAGAAGACAGAATGAGAAGAGAAAAATGAGAAACAAGAGATGAGAGAGGGTTTGAGAGAGAATGACTGAGATTCAGAGACAGACAGAAGGTTGTAGTGTGCAAGTGTAAGAGAAAAAAAAGGGAAATATCTATCCACTTAAAACAGTTTATTCACTGCCTTTCACTATCTACAATTGTTTTTCTCCGTCCAACAGAACACAAGACACCAATGCTCTTGTTTCTCCTTTTAAACCCTCCATAGTCATCACCATATGTTCCTGTGAACCAAAAGCCAACATAAAACATAGTTGTGACATTTAGCCAGCAAGGGGGTTCAAAGCCTCATAGGCAATACCCAACTGGGGCAGTAGTCCATTCTTTACCAAAACCTCTACATGTTTAGTATGTGTGTATGTTTCCTATGGCAGTTTACCTGGACAGCATGATTGATTAAGCTGGTGAGCAATCGGAGTCGGACAATTGAGCGTGAGAGCAAGAAGGGAGATCGATCATTGTGAGGGCTCATGCTTAAGTCTGGCACTAGATAAATGGGCTCAGATGAAGCCTGTGTGTGCACATAGCGTGTGTGTGCATTGTGTTCACGCATGTGTGTGTGTTCTCTGTATGAAAGCATGCGTGGGTGGGTCATGGCTAAACAGTCTCACTAATCCACGTAAAACACACATGCCAGCACACTCATTGCTTGGATTGCTTTTTTAAAATCAAAGGAAAATGCTATTATTTCTTTTCGTTCTTTGCCTTCAAAAGAGGGAGGAGGAGCGAGGGACAAGAGGAGGTGGCATTGTGTTTCCTCCTTGTGCATTATGGATGAGGCGCGTCCACAGTGTTTGATCAGCGGCCTCTGATGGCCTGCTGGGTAGACCTAAGACTTGTGTCTGTGTGAACTTGAGTGTGTGTGACTATGACTGAGAGAGGACTCACCAGGGTCATAACCCTTCCTAGGTGTAATCTTTATTAATTTACTTTTGAGTACAAATCAGTAAGGATTTTACTACTGACAGAAAGTTTTGGGTCAGCACAAAGACATAAAAGTTTTGATATCCAATGTAAAACAAGTAGGCACCAGAAGGTATCAAGATAAGACACGATCTGCAATAACAGCTCCAAATCCTTTACTTTTTCTCACAAGTTACAATACATCCCTCGTTACATGCACTGGACACTTGGGAACCTGTCCTCCACAGAAAGGAGATATGTCCATTGAAGGAGGAGTGCCAAAACAGACATTTTTCCATCCAGTCATAATAGTGTCCCTTGGTTACTGTGACAACATGATGAGAGCCTCTCTACAAACTCCATGGCAACATGACAAACACAACTCCCCATTTATAAAAGGGAGTGTGTGTTGGTGTGTTTCTATACTCGTATGTATAGTCAGCTGAGCTCAGGCCCATTGCCACAGTAGATAACAGCTTTTAACACTCTTCAATGCTCTCAGCACTCATTGCTTCCTTACCACCAGCAGGTAGAGATGTAGGGTTTTCGTGGGCAGTCTGGAGTCACTTTGTGAGACTATAAGGCACTAAGAGAACATACGTAATTATTCTTCTACTTGCCTAACACACACTCATCACTTTACTTGTCTCAACGTTGCGAAAAATACCAGGATTTGGAATATTTTATCACCTTCTGTTTCATAGTTAGACATCACATAAGATATATAAAAACTAAAAAATTGTGAAATACCGTTTTTACACAACTTAATAAAATAAAAACAAAATGAAACAAATGAAATATAATTTTTTTTTCAAAATAGACACAAACTCGGTTTGCTCAACAGTACAACTAAATGAAACAAATAGACAATAAACATGAAAAATACAGGTGCAAATGGTCATATCTTTTGGGGGCGTGGATAATGAAAAGAGTGTCACACCTTTTTATTTAATTAAATCGCATCCTTTTGCAGTTATGTTATTGCACAGGGTGACATCACGATTGAAAACGTGATTAGATTAATCATGCAGCCCTAATTCTAACCTGGAAATCAGGAAAAATACATTAAACTGCAGGTAAACAAAAACAACAATGGTGCATAAAACCTCCATTACAGCAAACAATCAATTACTGTAAGAAACCTAACCATCAAACTCAGTACAAACACACTTTAATAACTAGATGATGATTTTGACATAGCTACCCATTTATCTTATGTTACATGGTCATACTATTAGTATATTAATACACTCTAGAGGTGTCCCGATGATACAATCAACATTACTTGTTTCATGTCATCATCTGTTACACATTTTACCCTGTGAGGTATATTTTCAGAGGTTCACAGAGTTTCATCAATACATTCTTACATTAAAGCTGCCTAGTAGGATCACCAGTGACCGGAGCATCTGATTCTAAAACCAGCCGTAACCCACTGAACACATTCCAGGAACACAGCAGATGCTCAAAGATGAGCAACAGGAATCATGCCATTAGCTTTCTACAGTGAAAGTGAAGTGAACTGCTACATGAAGTATATCCAGGAGCTATAATCTATGATTCTTCCTTGCATGAGAAATGCTGGGTGCCCTTTATAAATGTACATGTGATATTGTATGGGGAGGACTGCTTTGCTGTGTCAGACTCATCCACCCCTCAATGACTCTTATTTCCTCCAATAGCTCTAATTTATGGCTATTTAATCTCATTAGTTGTTGCTTTGACAATGGTCATTATATGAATTACTTCCCTCCTAAAACTACAAACTGCTACAAATGTCTTAAGAATATTTCAAGTGATAGAATGATAGTAATTTCTCTTGGGTCTGGAATGGGAGGACATGTTCAAGATACTGCACTGTGTTTGCAACATCAGTTTTACAGCTACCGGTCCACACTGGACTCTTGCAGGCATTCAATGTCGCTTCCAAATCCTTTAACTATGTGTTGTTAGCATGGTGGACTCTCGTTAACATAGCCAGTGGGACAGACATGACAGCGCCTCTGTAATTCTATATACAGGGTTGGAGCTTTTTACAAGGCACTTTTGTATAGCAGATTGCTGGTGTGTGTGTGCACATCCACATCTCCACTATAAACAGTGGAAAGTGAAAAGTGCATAGGGGAGGGCTGAATTGGCAAAGCACTCCTCAGAAGTATCCGGAGACAGCTGGCGCCACCTCTCTGGTTCTCCCTCTCTCTTTTACTTGCTTTCTCTCACCACCAACAACGCTTTTAGATTACGCGAGAAACACACTTTCTGACAGTCACTGTTTCTCTCTCTCTCATTCTTTGTTTCTCCCACCTCTCACCCAATGCTTTTTCCTCACTTTTCAGAGCCTCCCTGTCTGTCTCTCTCTCTCTCTCTCCCTCTCTCTCACTCTCCCTCATCCTCTCTCTCCCTCTCTTTCTCTGGTGTCTGTCTACAGGTGGAAAATGTCCGGCAGATGCTTTGGCAGTAGCCCAGGGAGTTGCTGACTTTATTACCATGGCAGCTCTTTATCACCATGGAAGCAATCTATCATTGCAATGACCAGCGTCCTGTTGCCTGGTCCTGGTCCAGTTGGCATGTGTGCACACATAAATATACTCTTGCCACTGGAGACGATTCTCCAAGGGCTTCCCCCATTTAGTCAATTCAGGTAAGGTCAATCAAAAATGCTGCTAATTCATGAAAATGTTACCAAACTG